TCACCGCACACAAACTGGTCACCGACTCACCGCACACAACCACTGGTCCACCGCACACACCATCAAGACACACCCACTGGTCAACAGCACGGCACCCAACCACCCATCGCACACCACCGCACCAACGAGAACCCCCAACCGCAAAATCATCCACAAAAAATAGACCCAAACTCCAGTAACCCAAACACCGACGCTGCTGCGAGATCTGCGAACGGTGCGACGCGAACTGCATCGACGCAACAAATCTGGAAATGAAAAAAAGGGAGCTAACGCTGCTGAAAAAAAAAAAGATCTGGATCTGTGGGGTGAAAAACAACAGATCTGGAGTGCCATTTCGTTGGAGTGGAGAGGGAGAAGTTAGAGAAAGAGAGAGATACCTAGAGAAAACGTCGGATCCCTTATTTCGCCGGCAATTGGGCGGGTGTTTTTAACACGGAGACGGGGAGGAGAGAACGGCGGTTGGGCGGCAGGAATGCGTAGAACACAGAGAGTGAGAGGAAGAAGACGGCGGGTTGAGTGAAATGAATTAGGTTTTCATTGGAATTAAATTAATTTGGATGAAAATATATAATTAATATTTAATAAAATATGAAAAATCTTATTTTTGAAAAGTTAAATTTGTAATCCGATTTATGAAAATGGTTTTTTAAAAGTAGGGGTGGGTGTAATTTCCTCTAAATAAAATATTAGATCAGTCTTAATTAATTCCTGAACAATTCATTTTTAAATTTTTTCTATTATTCTCAAAATTATGGTAATTTAAACGCGATAAAAAAATGATTATAAACTAATTTTTAAGAATTTAATTAATTCAAAATTTTCATAATTTCGTTCATAAATTTTTTTATTTTTACATTTTACATACTATTTTCAAAATTATGGTAATTTAAATAATATGTTATTTTTTATTGCAGTTTGTACTACTAAAAAATAATCATTATCTTTCCATTTACACAAGGTTACAAAATTTGTGATCACAACTCTATAATATAGAAGCGATAAGACTTATTCTTTACAAACGACCATATTTGACTATCATTTATGTCT